CTTGAACGTTCTCATCACAGAAGAACGTTTTTCTTCCGGATCTGGTGTAAAAAAACCGGAAATTCCGCCCTAATTTCAGCAATTTCCCATTCAGCAATTTAATCATCGTCGGCGTGACCAAACTATAGCTGATCAGCTGAACATATGTCACACAACTTGTGAGACGTTACAGAAGTACATCAACTCTGCAAGACGTCTCTTACGTGAGCTCATCTCTTGGCGACCTCGCTGATACTTCCGTCTTCAAACCACCAGGGTGAACAAAGCAATATATTTTTGTGGTTGTAACATCGTTCGATTTGGCAGTTCAATGTAGTGCATCTGAAAGTTCAACATGCAGAGGGCTTACTGGCTCCAGAATCACCAAAAAATCAAATGAAGAGTTTTCATCCATACTTTCCATATTCATCATCATATGTGCTTTTGGTATTGTACAAGGTCCCTGCCACGTCCAAGTGTATAGTTCCCAGCAGATCAACATTTCTTACTAAATCGGTTACAGTGGCAATAGTCCACACGTATTACCATTTTGAGTAGTGTGCAGGTTCATTGTTGTTGGGTCACAGGAATAACAATAATGTAGGAGATGTCGAATGCACCACTTCCTGTATAATTATAACCAAAGAGTTCTTGCGAAAACAGCCCTCCCCCCTGATGAAAAAATTCAAAATCTCAAGAAACATGACAATGCCCGTTTGAAGAACATTTCTTCCGGATTTTGGTGGCAAACAGTGGAGGTGGATTCATTTGAAAGGCGAAATCAGTAGGTGGATGATGTAACAGATTGTGGCTAATTAGGAATTCGGAGGTTATCAAACGAATGGATGATGGATAGACGAAAACAGGCAATCGCTTACATGCTACCAGCCGAAAGTGGAGTGACTAATGTTTGGGACCATGGACTGAAGTTAACCAAATGGTCGGATTTCAAAGACACTTCTACACTTCTATCCTTGTTAAGTTCTATGGTCATGATAAGGCCCCCGAAATGAACAGGAGGGTTCTGGTTAAGTCTTGCTGACAAATCCTATTGGCTCCCAATATGTTTTCTTGTATCCGGAGTGCCAACGCGTTTTTGGAGTGTCCTCAGCTCCCTGGAATGTCGTGGATGCATCGGGTGTTCCGAAATTTTAGAATGAAATTCGTGACGCATGTGAGTTGAGTTAGAGCAGTATTGGGGCAGCAAGTGATTGAGTACGTGAATTCGCGTGAATTAGGTGATAAGTTCATCAGCCATGCATCGAGCTAGCCAGTCATTCAGTTAATCAGTCAGTTAGTCATCTATTCAGCAGCCAGGCAGTCTGTCAAGCGATCATCGTCGATTACTCCATCAATCAATCAATGAGATATTTGGTCAATTGCTTGCATACGTCTTCACCCAGCCCGTTAGTTACCTGTGTAGGAGCGATGAAACCGTGGGACTCCACTGAGCTTTCTAACAACAAAATGATGCTAATTATGTTAGTGTCTCCGAGGCTGGTTTCATTTATATCTGGATTTCAAACATTCCACCGGGGAAATGGTTGACGTGATGAGCAGTGGAGGTGAGCTACCGCATTCCATTTTCAGGCTTGTCTAAAGCACACAACTCGTCGCCAAGTTCCTAGTTATACTAGTCATCTTATCTTGCTTGCAATCAGTTTTTGTGAAGCGGCTCAATAACACATTTGACGTAAATTCGCACTGCAATTTGACCTTCGATGTATGCGAGCTTTCTTTTGGGTTGTACTGTGAAGAGTATTGAATTCGCAGTGGTCTGAAAGCCGCATCGCGAATAATGCAGGGTGGGAATTACCGGAATTCCTCAGGCAACCTTGAATCGAAAATTTGAATAGTCGAGCCATAGACTGTCAGTGGCCTACTGTCTTATTTCTAAGGCTAATGAGTCTCTGATCTTTCTAGTCTCTTACTTCACTCAAAACGCGAAAGGAGTTTTCAAGTAAATGCTACCGGAGTGAACAAATAAACACTCGAAGTTCATACGTTTTATGTGCTAAATTGTTGTGGGTCATTCACACATAAATTCTGCCAGGATGGGTTACCTTGGTAGTGCAAAACGTTTTATCTCTGAATGCTATACAAGTATCTTTTTCAGACTTGGATTGGACGGCACGGATTTCTAAATTGCTTGGTTCACCCTGATTTACGAAATGTGGTAGGGTAAAATCAAAGTTACCGGTGATGAAGGTCATACAACCATCTCGACAAATACACACATTTGCATATCAATTGGGTTCTGACGGGAGACACACATAGAACCCAGCTGAATCTCTCATTTATGATGTTTCAGCAACCTAATGAGTAGTGTATTACGTCTTGCAACTATGTTTTGGAATTACTTTGGTAGTAAGGAGCTTACGATGCTGAAGAACTCTGCAGTGATGACCCTGTTCATCAAAAGAAATTCCGCATCATGCGTGCACTCAGGCTTCCTCAGAGGTTAAGTTACGAGCTACTGATCGTGACGCCCATGACTGATGCTAACATCGCTTGTTTCCCCCTGGGTTTGGGAAACCTACTTGTTTACGGACCCCAGCCAAAACGTTCGAAGAGAGATTTACTCAAAATATAGCTACCTGACTTGTTTCTTCGAGGGAAGATTTTCGGAAGACAAGTTCTTCGATGCCACCTCATCGACATAACATATGAAGTTGAAAAAGGTGTTTCTAACAAAAAAATCTTCCAGTTTAGGCTACACTTTCGATTCCCATTCGGATACGGTACCGCGTTCGACTGGCCTGAAGGTGTGCAACTCCAAGGCCGAGATGGAAGACAATTCTTAAGCTCTGTATACCCAGTTTCAAAGTCTGTTTTACGATTGTCGGAATTCCGAAGAAAATAAAATAGCAAGAGGAACGAATACCCCTGATTGACAACTTTTTGTTGGGCAAACTGACTTCTTGTTGCTTCCACAGCCAACAGGCGACACTCGGCACCTGAATGGCATTAAAATATTTGAGGTTTCCCTTAGAGTATTGTAAATCTTATCTGCCAACGTTAGGTGTTTGTTTTCATGGATCTGCACAAATTAAACTTTGCGTTTCATATGTGAGCAGGTAGAAGAATTTCACGCTGCCTGAATGAGTCCTATTGAGATATCATACAACTGCTTACTGAACTGCAGGAAACCAATTATGGAATCCTCCAAGTAGATGATCAGTTGACTTTCCAAAACTTGATTGTATCCCGTTCATCATGACCTGGCACTTTACTGAATATCTCCCTTTGCGGCTAGCGAACTGACCGTTCGATACGGCGGTTGGTTTCCATGGCATCGTAGCCCACAATGGTGGGTCATCGATAATGGGATTGTGAGACCAGGCACGACAAATATGTTAGACCTAAGGATATTTGTAAGGGCACATTGCTTATTTCAGAATTCCCATTACCCAAACTAGCAGCGTTATTAAATCAGGCTTTAGCGGATGCTGATCAATAATACAACACTGTTTTATTGGTGGGTGCTACCAACTAGTGGGTAGCCAAAATCAGCGGCGAAATGCCCGGACTGAACGTTTTCGAACTCATCCTGAGTTTTTTTAGAGACGGCTGAAATACTCATCCATTCAAAATGATAATCAAAGACAGTATGTTACACACTATGTTGCAATATGGTATGACTGAAGCACATGCACTTCCGGTAAATCATTTATTTACTCCTAGTTTGTAATTTGCATTCGAATAATCAGAACCAGTTTGGGAAATTTCCAGAAGAGATTTCATCCTAATATGTGAAGTCAGTCTATGCTGAAAAGCTAAGAAGCTATTTTATTCTTACTGGAAATCATCGACAATGCGTACCTCACAAAACTCCATAGAGATTTGGTCCCATAACCCTCTGTTTAGTAGTTTAGCACTAGTAGTACAAACACCAAACGTTTCGGCTGCCAGCAAATCATCAACAGTGTGTTTGACTAGCACAGTTGTCGGCTTTTCAGCATACACTATCTTCACCTGGCTTCAACTATCTATTGAGTAAGTGTGTGAGCCAGAATTGGCGTTTGAACTGCTCGCGCCACCAGCACGACGCGAACATGTTAGGCAGGCACAGATTAATTTCTATAAGCCCTTTATTCGGTTTCTCAATCAGTTCATTTTGTTTAGATGTCCTGCTGCGCTCGGGAACCATGTTTAATCTTGCCTGATTGGACTGCAAAGAATGGCTGATATACTTTCTTCCGAAAAACTCTGACTTGAACGTTGAGAGGCAATTTTTAACTTCATGCAAGGCGACCAACGACTTTTTTTCTGATTTCTGTCACGAGTGTGTCTCTGAACCCACACTCTGTATGGCATTGATGAATGAGTATCGGTACCATTGGCTAGGTCATACATTCCATCGAATGGACATTCCTGATGGTCACAAAAATTCCACGTATTCCGCACACATCATCACCTGATGCCCGGCATGTCGTGACTCACCAAACAAAGTGACCAATCATTGATAGTGAATTCTGCTATTTCACGGAATTCGGAGTGAGCTTGGTGGTAGATTCTGAACGGGTGCGAAAATCTCGAGACTGAAGTTTGTGGATGAATAATCTGCCGACAAATATCTGCACCACGTAAAATCTATCACAAGCATCGTAGTCGGAACAAAATGCAAAGTGTGATTGTATCGTTTTATTGTGCTTTGTTATTCGAAAAGAACTTGGCTATAAGATTTATAGCTTGTTAGGTTACATAAGGGACCTTTGAGACACCGCATAAAAAGCTGGGAGGCTGAGAAGCCCTATCAATGCCACCATTTACATAGCATTTACATTGCCATGTCAATCATCAGTGTCAACACTGATATTGCTGTCTTTGATGATGAAGAAGAAGAAGATGATGATGTGAAGTAAAACCCTTGTTTTACTAGGCTAACAGCTGTTACAGTATTTCCCTGTAATCATCCGTTCGCTCAAGTGAACTTATCCTATTTGGAAGTCCGTAGATGTTTGACGCGACAAATTGTTTAGTGCCTCCACAAACACTTTCCCTCAACTTGTGGCATTCACCAGTACCAGATGGATTCCGACCAGGACTAAGAATTTTCCCTTGGATCTGCGTTCGTGATACCGGTTTAGAGGCCATCCTCTCTCCAGAATCAGAAAGCCAGGTTTCAAGAACTTTGGAGAAAGTCGAAGTAACTGAAGAGGATAAAGTGAGGGGGTACAATTTTGGGCAAGTTTATAAGGTAGGTCTTCTGAGGTTAGCCCGTGAGAATATCTGGCAGTGAGTCTCCGTAGTGTGAAAGAACTTTGTGTACTTCACGTTTACATCTAAGTTTGAAATTTGGGATTTCCAAACCACTATTATGCTATTTTGATAGAGTTGAAAGCCGGTATTGCACTGTTGTTTGACTTCAGTACTCATCCCCACGAAAGATTCATGTCGTTAGCATCTATGTGGGAAATCATGTGATCAAAGGGACCGAAGCCAGTTGCAATGTAAATAATTTTTTGAATCAAAACAGTACGATGGCTTTCTCCCAAAATGAATTAGCGGAATCAAGAGCGTGCATCTTCAATAAAAACTGTCAAACCGGCTGACTCCGGAAAGGGACCTATAAATGATACTATTTTCAGGGGTATATTAGTTTGCAAATTACTGAATTTTACACAATCACAAGTTTTTAATCAGACATTCAAAGAATCTTTAAGAAAGGCTAACTCTTTCAGTTCTTTCACACGTCAAATGGTGAAGTGAATATGTGCCCACACTTAAGTAAATTAGGCTCAACTGTTTCATCAGCTTATGTGACTTATTCAATGTCAGTTGAATAATACACCAAAAGCGTTTGAAAGCAATTTCGTCACTCACACAGCGTCATGAGAAAATGATACCTTGCTCACAGGGAATGGTTCATATTGGACCCTGATCAGAATGAAATGTGATTTGAGGAGTGCACAAGAAACGAACACTCAAACTATTTCAACAATGTGTTGGAACGTGCCACCGAAATCGCTGAATTGAGCTTCTACGGCAACAAGCACAAAGTGGTCATCATGATCCATATCCAAATAGGTAGCTGGAATGAAACTAACAGGATGAAATAACAAGTGAATAGATATTCGTAATGCACTACTCAAAAGGTTGATGAGAATTCGTCGACAGCCCAGGATTTGCCTTTCTTGAGGCCCATCAAGTAGGCGCAGTCCCCGAGTTTTCGCCAACATTATGTTCTACTTGAAAACAAATTAAATTGAATTAGCGAATTACACTCATTTTAAAACTAATTTGGTTTTTCGAGAGATTCCCCTGGGACCCAGCTGAATCTCTGGATCGTAATGTTTCCAGGCAACTGAATATAGTTTCCGACATCCGGTCTGTGTGCTTTTTGATGCGTTAAATGAAAATATGACGTTGACAACCTTAGAGGGATCAAGCAAACTCGGTCGCATGACAGAGATATTTGTGTTATAGAGGAGGCCAAGATACAGCACGATCTCGGGCTCAAAAACTCTTGCTAGAGTGTGTCATACAAGCTACAAAATCAATCAGTTTTTGACATGTTGCTTCATCGTGGGTGTCACTGTCCGGCACCGATCGGGAATGCAACCCTGAAGTCCTCAATTTATGGTCAATAACTCTATCCCAAAATGATTTTTGTGGGCTTGATATTGCTAAGGTATGGGGTGACGATTTATAGTCACGATAAGTGTATTCTCATAAACAAAGAATGGGCATTTTGGTCGCTGCCGAGGATAACTCCGTTCATGTTTGTTTGGTTCCACTTAGACTACAAGCACGGAATAACGGCACAATAGCCTCTCTCCAGGTTGCATTTAATACCTACCTGCTTTTTTAGAGTAGCCTTTGGACCCAGCGTGAGAATTTAACTTGGTCTAGAAGAAAACCCGCGTAAAATTTACCAACAATAAGCATTTGAGTTTAAGGCTTATTCATAAATGACGACATAGATTAGCTTGACTCTAAGGAATATCTTGTGTATGTCTGCTTTGTAGATGATAGATTCGGTTGGGTTCTAAGATGAAGCCATTTTGACTTACAACCAGTTCGACGAAGGTAATGTGTTGAGAACTCACAGACTACTCTCATGTGATAGGCATTAGACGAGAAATAGCGAAACATGATTGCTGAAAATCTGTCTCCAACATTCTGATCGATATCACATCGCCAGACAGATAGCATCGGGTGTATGGTCTCCTTCTGATGAACAAATTTTTAGACATGACATTTAAAACCATACTTGTTTGTAGCGGACCTAGTGAAATTTCATAGATCTGGGTGCCTTGCACTATCGTAAAGAAGCGAATAGAATTTGATCAAGATAGTCCTTAGCATCAATTTTTCTGCTCATTCCTTTTTGCTACACCAAACAGTCGATCATCATTATCATCATCATCATCATCATCAGTCGATCAATCATCATCATCATCATCATCATCATCAAAGAAAGCAACATTAGTGTTGGCACTGACGCTTCACTGCCGTACAACCATAACATAAATCTAGTTATATTTATATATATAATTATATTAAGAGCCCTACAGTGAAAAGAAGAGAAAAAGAGTGGGAGAGGGTAAAGAGTGCTGGCCTTTGTCAAGCATACTGAGGTGCTTATACCTCCAACCGCTCGATCAGACAATCTGTTAGGAAACTGACAGCATGAACGCCACTGACAGCGATTAGCCGCCATTTCTCGCCACATCTCCAGCCAAGCGGCTACGGGAATCCCATCCTGGAAGGCGTACAACAGTCGATCCACTCGATCAAGAAGCCATAAAGACAAATTGCCAAATGTTGGTAGTGCAAAAATGCTTTTTAAATGCAACCTAATCAAAATAAATAATATTTCGGAATTAGTTCAACGGTTGAGGGGATGATAGTGAAATAGAAAAACAGCCAATCAGTGGACCGAACATCAAGACTGATCAAGGTTATGATGCCTAAGACTTGCTGGATAAAGTTGTTGTTCAGACGGGTACCGTTTGTGTTGCGCAGCAATATAGCAAGGGTATTCAACGGGTTCGATATAACAAACCGCTCTGACTAACGTGTCGAGCGACCGGTAACCAGTGAATTCAGTGAATTTCAAAAATCTCGCTGGTACACTGAACGATCCGTTCAGTGCACATGAGCGTAACCGTATCTACAGAAGAACTTCTATAAGATCTAGTATCCAATACGATGAACTGTCTCACTTATCCTGTCAGTGTTACCTCCCTTGTCGTTGAAATGAGCACGGTTGGCTGCCCGCAGTTTCCCGTGAGCACCGTCAGCCAAGTGATCTCACGGAGACTACATTATCAAAACTAGAATTTTCTTTTCAGAAGGAGTTATCGTCTCCCACGTTGATTGTTCACAGTAGGTTAATGAACATCCGAATTTCATGGATATAAATTTTTTTATTAAAGTCCTGGTTAAAAATTTCTCTTCCGCCGGAAGACAGTCTGCAGAACAAATCTGTTGGGCTGTATCAGCCAGGAAGTGAAATTGGGATGT